TGAACACAGGAGTAGACAGTAGAACGATTATGAGGATATGATGGATAAACAATGATTGACCATAAATTTGAAGAATGTAGTGTCAGAGGAAACATCCATACAGTAGTTTGTTTCAGAGAGTAGGGTTTCTTGGAAAGAAATGTACCTGGTTTAACCTTGTGCATTACTTTTCAACGTTGACCTGTCCCAAAATTAAATTATATATATATATATATATATATATATATATATATATATATATATATATATATATATATATAATATTAGTGGTAAATATACGCATACATATGCAAAATATATATACATAGGTGCATACACATACATGTATATTTTTTGAATAAAAAATTCCAAGAGGATAAAATCCAGGTAGAACTCAATGTCCAGGACAGAGTAAGGATATAAAAAAAGGCTTAAACACTAATATTAGTGTTTCAGCCTTTTTATTATATATATATATATATATATATATATATATATAACCACACGCCGTAAAGAGAGTGAATTTCGAAGATTTTTACAACACTAATTATCGTTCAGAATGTTATTGATACACTTCTTTTATGCACCGTGTCCCTTCAGGAAGTAGGCAATCATAGCCCTCCACATCTTCTTGCCTCTTGTAACTCTTAATAAGTTTTGTCTTTTTGTTATTTCTACCAAACCCTGTTCCGCCATCTATTTACTCATGTCCATCAAGCATGTTACGCGTTGCTTTCCTTTGCTTCTCTTTTCCTTAATCTGTCCTGTGAGTATCAGATTCTCCAAGCCCTCTTTTCTCATTATGTGCCCCAGAAATTTTAACTGCCTGTTCCTGATAAGTATGTTTACTTTTATTTTCTTTGAAACCTCGTTGTTGCTCACATGTTCGGTCCATGGTATCCTCGGCATTTTTCTGTAGATTCATATTTCTGTTGTTTCAAGTCTCTTCTTTGTCTCCAAGTAGACTGTTCAGCATTCGCTGTCATATAGAAGGACTGATATCATGTTAACAGTTCAGTACTTTTTGTTTCGTTTCTAACGAAATTTTTCTGTTTCTTCATACTCTGCTTAGCTTTTGGAATGCATCTTTCGCTATCCCAATACGCCTTCAGATTTCAATGTCGCATTTTCTGTCCTCTTTTAAAATACTTCCCAGATAGTGAAATTTTTGTACTCGTTTAATTTTAGTATCCTCGATTTGTAATTTGCATTTTGGGCTCATACTTTTTCTAACAATCATGTATTTTCCCGCTTTTCTTTGCTACCTTCTGTAGGAACTTTTGTAGTATCAACACTGTGTCATCTGCATATCTTATGTTGTTAAGATTGTGGCCGCCAATAATGCATTCTGGTTGGACTTCTAATTCTCTCAGAATCGCCCCGCTGTTTAGGTTGAATAAATCCGATGAGAAAACACATCCTTCTCTTACCTACCCATTTCTATTTTTGAATATCTGTTTAAAGCGTTTTTTATAGTAAAGCTCGCCACATAACGAGATACTGTTTCTAAAATATGTGTGGCATATTTAGAGTCAAATATCGTATGTATAAATTTAAAAAAGAAAACAAAAAAAAATCCCATTATCTAAGGGAGGTAACTAATATTTTTACAATCGCAGTTATCTACCTTAAGTAATAATAATAATAATAAACAATAATATTTGTTAGCGTTGTAAATCTTTTCTCAGAATTTCTTAAACGAAGCATTGTCAGTATTTTCAGCTAATTTTTTCCCGTCTTATTTTTAATACTTTTCATCGCAACGTTGAGATTGTTTTTAAATTGTATGAAATTTAAGTAATTAGCACGTGCACATATATCTATATATATATGAATGAAAAAAAAGACAAGAGGCAAACTATATTTTGTTTTGAGCCAACGTGTTTCATCATCTGAAGGACTTTATCAAGGTAAATGTGATGGTTTTATTTTGCTACAAGTATATATTTGACAGTTACTGAAAATTTTTAAATTTAAGAACGCTCATGAGTATTCATCAGGTTAACTGAAAAGTTCAGTTGTTAGAACGTAGATTACGTCATCTATATTTTACCAGGCACGACAAGAAACAAATCTGTATTTTAGAAGACAAACTAAATACGTTGATACGCAAAAAAAAAAAAAAAAAAAAAAAAAAAAGAAAGAAAAAAGGTCACCAGAAAAGACCTAAGCACTAATCTATCCGGATTTATGCTATCGGACACATAATTAGAAGCCCTCAGCTAAAATTTGCACAAAATTTTCATTCATTTTGTCTCTTCTACAGATATACTTCATAAGCGAATGCACACACACACACACACACACATGTATACACACACACACACATATATATATATATATATATATATATACACACACATATACACAAACACACACACTGAGGGTCGTTGGGGCACCATATGTACAGCTGCGTTAATAGAATTGGTTTATCAACCCGCTCAATGCTAGTTTGAATTTAGAGCTTTCCTTCACCTAGACCGGTTGTCCCCCAAGGCTATAAAATGCGGCTATTTACCATTGCCTGGTGGGTAAGAGATGGATTCATACATTTCCCAATGTAAATGAATGTAATAAACACGACTGGAACCCTAACACGGTTCTTAGGTGCCGCAATCCATTACTCCATCGTGCATATACAGGGTGATTGAAAAGTAACTCCCTATTTTATGTATGGTGGACTCTCCCGTCAAAATTCGGAGTTACTTTTCAATCACCCTGTGTGTGTGTGTGTATATATATATATATATATATATATATATATATATATATATATATACACGTGTGTGTGTGTGTTAATCTTTAGCTGATTATTAATGGTTTTTCCTAAATATTCCATGCTAAATTATTAATGAGTGCGCTCATTATATAAGTGGAGATAAGTGTAAGTGCTGGCTACTCGTTTTTGAGTGCACTCGTTTAATAGAATGGTTAGTATTGTGGGGATCTCCCCTTTTTACATAAGATGGACTCGTCCAAAGTATACTTATACAGACAGAGAATACCTGCGGTTGAGATACGTCGACATACAGTCTCGACGTCTGTCGAATTCTCTGCTTTGGCAGAGAGGAACCCGGACGAATTTGCCGAAAGGCAAAGTTTCGTCCGGGGAGGTAGACAGGCCCTGAACCAGTCTGGGCGGGTTCAAAGGGTATATCTTTGGCCGAGCCTACGGGCTCGGAGAAACCCACGTTAAACTCGGCCTTGTGCCACCTACATTCCTCGTGGGGGGGGGACTGTTAAATATTGAGATACGTTGAGAGATACGGAGACGGACACAGGGTGTTCAGAGAGAGAGAGAGAGAGAGAGAGAGAGAGAGAGAGAGAGAGAGAGAGAGAGAGAATTACGGCTTTACTTGTACAGGATTCCATACACGGAATCCAAAACAGTTAGCTAATCCCCACTGCAGACACCTGTACAGGTAGAGCTGAGTTTGTTCAAAACTCACAGAGTCTAACTTCTGTTTATTCTGCAGCTATGATGATCAGACCTTAGACGGAGAGAACGCATAATCTAGCAATATAAGCGGTTTGAACAAGGTCAAGCGTATGCTCAAGCACTCGGTCACGATAACATGTAGCTTCGTGCTAGCACAACCGACGACGGCTTCCGAACAGTTCCGTCTTCCCAATTTCATTCACAAGACTTTGGTCAACCCGTGTTATGGTTTTTAGGCACTTTCCTTAAGGTGTCGCATGCTGGGTTCGCCTCCCTCAGTCCAATAACATCAAGAAATCACCTTCGTGACAAATAAACCATGGTGAGATTCGAACCCGGGTCGAGTGATCAGAAATAAGCTTATATATATATATACTTTATGAAAAACTAGGTAATCCGTATGGGTAAACCTAAGGAGGATAAAATCCAGAGAGCTCAATGTAAATCCAGAGCAACTAATAAAAACAGACCACTTTCCATGTAATAAATTATTTCACCATAGCCCTTTTAAGGACTGCGGATCATCAGACTTTACTTCCAAACAAAAAATGAAAAGAAAATTTACACATTTTTGACGGGCCGTATTAAACATATGTAAATTAACGAAGTGAGGAAGTGAGGTGGGGGGGGGAGAGAAGACATGGGTGAGTTAGCAGATATTGACACATTTAAACGGTTAACTTAACGGAAGTTATATATTGATATCGAAGGGGTAGAGAAGAAAAAACCCATAGAGAGAAAAAGAGAGAAGGAAGTTATGAGAGATGTCACTAATTCATTTAATTTTATTTTATATATATATATATATATATATAAGAAGAAATGTTCAAAAGTTTTCGACCCAAATAGAAGAAATTCAAAAAATATTTGGTCATTTGAACAGCTCGTGGGTGTGTGTGTTGTGTATGTGTGTGTGGGTGACAAAATTGACACTAGGAACAAAGACAATAGAGAAACATCCTAGTCGACGCATTTCGTCCTCTTATATGATAAAAATATAATTTTAAGATATACAATATTTATAAGTTAAAGTGCTCAATATCATGGATAGAATGTATGTTACTATAAATGTAAACGTGGACATTGTAGTCAACACTAAAAGCAATCGTTAAGCACATAGCCTGACGATTGCGTTTAGCAATTGATGCGTTTATCAATAAATTGGTAGCAAATTGATAAAATGAGAATCGGTTTATATAAATTTTCAACATAATCTCTTTTCTTATCACTGCACTTAATTCGATAGAGAATATTAATCGCTTTGAACGAAAACAAGAGAGTGAACATTTCAGATGAAAATTTATCTAGTAATTTCATGTAAGACTACGAACTTCACACTCATAGAACTATATATATATATATATATGAGAGAGAGAGAGAGAGAGAGAGAGAGAGAGAGAGAGAGAGAGAGCGAGATAATGACTAAGGAAGAGAGAGATAGAAAAAACAGTGGTTAAGGAAAACAAAGAGGAAAAAAATAGGGAAGAGAAAGAGAAAGAAAAACGGTGATTAAATGTGAGAGAGAGAGAGAGAGAGAAACAAAAAACGGTGATTAAATGAGAGAGAGAAAGAAAAACGGTGATTAAAAGAGAGAGAGAGAGAGAGAGAGAGAGAGAGAAACGGTGATTAAATGAGAGAGAGAGAGAGAGAAACGGTGATTAAATGAGAGAGAGAGAGAAACGGTGATTAAATGAGAGAGAGAGAGAGAGAGAGAGACAGATAGCGAGATAATGACTAAGGAAGAGAGAGATAGAAAAAAACTGTGGTTAAGGAAAACAAAGAGGAAAAAAAATAGGGAAGAGAAAGAGAAAGAAAACGGTGATTAAATGAGAGAGAGAGAGAGAAACGGTGATTAAATGAGAGGGAGAGAGAGAGAGAGAGAGAGAGAGAAATACACCTATTTCCTGCATGCACAACGTAAACATCACTTTAGTTCGATAAAGATAATTTCCCTAAATCTCTCTATATAAAGTTGTAGCCTCTGTCTGTCTGTTATCGAACTTCTCTTAGGGTTTTGGAGAAAGACCCCAATAACAATATATATTCTTAATCTACATTGCCCAGTGTACTTGGATAAGTATATTTCATTTTCATCAAAGGGGATCCCGGGGTGGGGGCGTTCACAAACTTTCCACTGAATTTTTTTTTCCTTTGATTTAATTTAAATTTGAACAAGGGAATGACCCTATCCAAAATATAGATGGAGAAAGCCAAAAGATGGAGGTCACACTAGCAAGATCATTGAGTAATATTGAAATAATTTTTGTCCACAAATTATAACAATGATTTAAATCATGATTTTCTTACAAAAAATGTGTAACACGCAGCAAGGCGCGGGCAATTCGGTTAGTATATAAAGGCAAAAAAATCATTAATTCTTGTTTAATTAAATGTCAAAGTCTAGGAAATGTTATTCTTTTATTTTTTACTTAAATTTCTTTATGTAAAAGTACGTGTCTTATTAATCGGTGCCTGTAAGAACTTTTTCAATCGACTGCTCTCGATTATGTGATCAACTATTTTCAGAACAAAATGCCATGTTCGTCAATATATACATGAATTGTACACTAGCTTGACAAGTTAGTCTATGGCATAATATTAATATATTAAATAGATGTGTGCGCAAACAGAGAGGTACAATTTCCCAATGAGCAAGAAAATTCTGAGATAATATTGATGAATTCTCGAAAAAGAATGTATCTCCGGCATTAATAATAAAAAAAAAACAACACTAAATTCTTACATTGGTCACACAATCACCACAGTCTCTAGCAGGTTAACTTGTCTCTTATCGAAATTTGGTACAATTCGAATACATGCCATTGGATGAATATCAATTTTTAATGAGAGCAACTGTATGAAAAGATAAAATTATAATTAATTACTAATCTTATATGCTTATTAAATTCAAATCGGGATATCTTTCTACGAATATTGTTTCTCGTTGCTTGCAATTAGGATGCATTTGATTATATGCGCAGGTGTATGTGTGTGTCAGAAGATTTGATTGGTTAGAAAATATAACTGTAAAAAATCATTTTCTGTTGAGCCATAGTCCTAGTTTTGAACAGCGAATTGAAATTAATGTAATGTTGGCTGACTTTTTGCCTTCGTTTTCTCTTGAAAATATTTTTAAAAAAAAGGAACAACTATGGAAATAAGTAAACGGGATCACAGTCACATTATAAGAAACTTGTGCGATATCAAGATAAGTTGAATAAATACTTCCAGATATTATGAGAAAGGCAAAACATTAGTGAAATGTTGTTTGTGTTAATACCTTTAAAGGTTTCAGATACATTAACGTTTGGGAAGAACATGGATACGTAAATGAATTTACTTATCTAAAAAAAAAAAGAAAAAAAAGTGATACGGAAGGAAGAAGCATTATTTAGATGCTGTGTCCAAAATAAATAAACGCGTTGTCTGGACGCGTTACCTGACTCAACAAAATTTTTCTTTTTTCTTTTCACTTTCCAGTCTGGGTCGTGGGAATACATGTCTAAGCAGATCTGAAACTTTTAACCTATATATATATATATATATAGGTTAATTTCCTCGATTGCCACAGGTGGAAACTATGGTAAGGCAGTGGCTTAAACTAAACCACATGTCAACATACTCTTTCTCAGTTTCTTCCTCGATCGTTGTTTCTGTCTGCCTATCTCTCTCTCTTTCGTTATCTTTCTCTCTCTAATAACTGTTTCTCTTTTTCTTTCTTCTTTAATCGCGGTTTTTCTCTCTTCCTCTTTCTTCCATAATCACTGTGTTTTTCTCTCCCTTTCTTCCATAATCACTGTTTTTTTTTCTCTCTCTCTTCCTTAATCACTGTTTCTCTCTCTCTCTCTTTCTCCCCCAATCAGGTTTCTCTGTGAGTTCCATGTCAGTCGTCTTCAATAAAATTTGTATAAAACAGCGATTGCTACTAGTTCATCCCGAGAAACGCTAGCTTAGCGGGAAATTAACAATTTATTATTTACGCGCGTGATCACGCGCGCACACACACATTTCTCTTTTTCGTTTTTGATGTGATGAATCTTAGCAAGGGCGAAGCGCGTAATCTGGTTTCAATCAAACGGTTTGCATTTATATTCTCTAAACTTTGTCTAGATTTTGCATCCTATTTTACACACACACACACACACACATATATATATATATATATATATATTGCGTATTTAGGCAGCAATCCTTCTTTCATGCAAGCTTCATTAAATATCACAAGGTGTTTTGATTAAGTTTTTTGTTATGTAATTTCAGCATTGGATTTCACAAAACGTTTAATATCTAAAAACAAAAACAAAAAAACACTAAAATAATTGAGTTTCTTTTTCCAAGTTTTCAGTTAAGACGTTTAGCCCTCTTGACACTATTTGTCGTAATTATTATTCAGCTAGTAAGAGAACAGGTGAAAATCGTTTTGTCTCCGGTCCACTGTCTTCCCAAATGAGTAATAGTGAGAGGAAATAGATCTTCATAGAGCTAAATACATTCTTATTGTTCAAAGTAGAGTCCAATAGCGTTATTATAAAAACTACGGAGAATTCCAATAAGATATATTTAATCATTTCTAAGATACAACGGTTCAAAGCCTAATCTAACAATAGGTCAGTTTTGCTGTTACACGATTTGGACAATTTTGCTGTTACACCGGGTCTATATTTGATTGGCCAATACACCAAAAATTAAACAAATCGCAATTGGTCAGAATTTATACAAATGTCTGAATAATAGGATCAAGTTTGAGTAGGCACAAATATTATTGCAATTCTTGCAATCATGCGGAAGCTATCCCAGAATGCTAGTCGAGAAATGATCGCTCTCGGCTAGGTATATGGGAGAGAAAGTCTTGGAGGCCCGAAACTTCTTATGACCCTAGAATAGACCTCGAAGGAAACATTCTAGTGCGCAGCATATGAGTATAAAACGCATATATATATATATATATATATATATATATATACTAAGAATAAAAGGTAAGTTTAAAAATAAACTGAAAGAATAAAATATAAAATAAACTGAGGGCTCAATGCCAAAGTCGATACTCAATAAATATAATAAATTATAGAAATATTATTAATACATAGGTACCTCCACGATATCGCTAAAAAAAAAGAGCATAGCATGAAGAAAAAGACGCCAAACTTGACGAAAACAAAATTTTATAGTCTAAATGTTTATGTTATTATTAAAAGGAAAAATCAAATATTTTGGGGGTATTTTTTTTTACATTTTTTAATCGTTCCTAGCACGTCCGAAATTTTCGTTAAAAATCTTGTTTTTTTTTTGAGTCAGCAAAATTGACCACTTTTTCCATTTTATAAAAAAAAACTGAAAATCTCCCTTTGAAATTCTTTTAAATATCAATTATCATTTTTTCAAAACTTAGAAAATCAGAAATTATAATGTTTATTTAAAATATTTTGAACCAAGCTTAACTTAGCTTCTGCGCCGAAAAGATGTAATTTGAAAATAAAACAAAGCAGGTCATAAACTTTCGCGTCACTTGACAGGTGATGAATGACATATTGACGGATTCCGTGAGGATAATTTGTTCTACGGAAGAAGAAAAGTGAAATTATTTACATTTAACTGAACAAATTATTTACCTCGTTATTTTTAAGGAAAACTTTCAGCACTCTAATTTTTTTTTGTTTTTTGCACCTTTACATTTACGATGCTTTATGGAAAATATATTCTAAAGAAATTAAAATAAAACTGTTAAGAGTGAGGTTAAGTTTCATATTTCATAAAAAAGGTATCTAATTAATTTATAGGTACCTTTCTTATGAAATTTTATCAGAAGTGTACATAAAATTATATTACAAATCTTGTTTGTCTTGGTTGAGTTGCTTCCCTTTATATATAGAAATATTTAATTTGATAAGTTGTTATTAATACAATAATAATAAAATCCGTTTCTCATTTTAAATCCAATATAGTATAATAATTAACTGGATGATTGTTATTGCATGAAACTTTCAGTAGCAGATTTTGATATTATCGTATTAATAATATTTATATAAAAAAATAATAATCACAAAAAAAAAAAAAAAAAAAAAAAAAAAAAAGAAAATATATCTTAAATTTTTTCTTACACATACACAGGGAGTTCAAAAAGTTTCACCCTATTTTTATTTATTTTTATTTTATTGTATTATTGCAGTTTGGTCTTCGAGGATTAAGGAACATGCCTTTAGACTGAATCAGAATCAATGAATTGCTGCTGTCCGACATTACTGTCAGTGTTGCTCAAATGCAGCTGAGGCAAAACTTTTTGGACAACTTGTATATTCAAATTCCGTTTATTTTAAATGTCAAATATAACTTTTAAAATAAAAACAAACTGTAATCTCAGTATAATATTTATCTACGAAAACATTACGATAACCAGATATATTTTTTAAAAATTTAAATTAATAACGATCAGTGTATACTCAGCACCTGAACATTGCGTTGAAACTCCGACTCGAGCTAATATGTATTATTTTATATTATTATATAATATATATATATATAGCTTGAAGCAATCGGATGTCTAGCCACACTGATGAGCTGTGATACAGCGAGACAGGCTTGGATGACTATATATATAAATAAATTAATAATATATATATTAAAGTAAGTTTACGGTAAATGGTGGTGTGTTGCATTTAGACTAGGTTACATTTGTCATTCGTGTACATTTGTCGCTAGTCTGACATCAACGTTTAACGTGTGTAGTAGTGAGTTAACTGAGAAGTGTCCCCGTTTAACAATGGCAGGATATTTATATCGTGCGCAGGCAGATATAATTTTTACATACGGCCACGCAAATGGTAATAAAAGGTGAAGCTTCACGGCTGTATTAGATTGCATTTCCAAACCGAAAGCAGCCGAGTCATCCAACCTTTGCTACTGCTTACCGTCCTGTTGCCAAGACAGAATCCGTGACACTACAGATTATGTATAGAGGAAGACCGAGATCAACTTGTACACCTGACCACGAAGAACACATTCTATAGATACAACGATTACCTTTACGACATATGTTTATATGGACATTTTACCATTTTTAGTGTCAGGAAATCCTCCCCACAAAGTTTGTAAAAGTAATTTTGATACACTATATATATATATATATATATATATATATATATATATATATAATTTATTCGAAGATAACAAAATAAATATGTTATAAAATCACTACAAAAAATAGCCATGTTTCAACACTTCTGGTGTTTTATCAAGTGATGAAGTGTTGAAACAAAATGGCTATTTTTGTAGTGATTTTATAACATATTTTTATGTTATAATTTTCGAATAAATTATATTTGCTCTACTTTGAATTGAGCACTCTTTTAAGAATAGTATTTTTTGGTTATTGGAATTAACTCCGTATACACCAATCCTATACTGGAATATATATATATATATATATATATATATATATATATATATAAATGAATATGATATAAATGAAATGATATAGCACATTCAGTGCATGTGTCAATAGTATAGTGCTCGATGCAATAGAGCTATATATATAGTAATGATACAATATGGTAATCTGTATAGAATTTCCAGGAGGATATAGAGCCAGGGAGAGCTCTATGTCAAAAGACAGAACAAAATTATTATTATTAATTAAAGAATACCAAACACTTAGAATCCCATAAGTAATAATTTTTATTTCATGACAGCTCTAAAAAAGCAGCTAAAGACCTAAAACAAAAATCAAAAGTTTGGGATTTTAAGTGTTTGATATTCATTAATAATAATAATAATATATATGAAATGAGAACGAATCGAATATAAATTCCAACGTTCGTAACATTAATTTAAACGAGGGCTCAATACAAAAAGTAGACCCAATTTTTTTATTTTAGGATATTACATCAACATGTTAACATCAACATAGACTAACAGACATCGGTGAAACGCGCCGTTTATAAACTTTCCCATTTTATCTCATCATTTCCGCTTTCCCATCCTGCGAAAACATGTTAACATTAACATGTTGATATAATATCCTAAAATAAAATGTGTGTGTGTATATATATATATATATATATATATATATATATATATATATACGCGTGCTTACCTGCTTAGTCACGAGAGATATTAAAGCAAAGCCCTATAATGCTATAAGATTTTAGAAGAGAATGTGCAATAAATTAAATTACCTTACCAGATCTGACGATCAGAAACCAGAAAGTATTTGGTTGCATGCTTTTTATATTATTAGATCTGTTGGGGTCTCCTGTATTTTATATCGATCTATTGAAAGCAGAAAGTTATATTTCCACAAAAATCTCTACGCATTTTTCTTACAGTTTTGTATTTTGTTCGGAATTGAAGAAGCCGGGACTAACACACACATCTATATGTATATTCGTTGGATTATCTACACAAAGGAAAGAAACGATTCAAATTCAACCTGTATTTACTTATGTCCCCCTTAAAATATGTTAGATTCCATGTTTTTTTTTAATATTTATTCCGACATTCACAGTTAATTATGATTTCTAAAACAGAAAATTTTTCATTATTCTGTATTTTTTTATTCGGACCGGCATGCTCATGTTGGTCATTAAAACCACATTTATTTGGCTGTTGTGCCGTGGCCTGAATAGCAAAATATATAATATTAATAATTCGTCATCTACAAAAGAAATGTATCCCATATAAGTCTATTCAGTTCCCCAAATATCACAGTGAAACAATAGCAGCAGGATTATATTTAAAAATAAAAGTTACTAAGTTTTTTTTTGTTTTAAATGCAAAGCAAATTCGTGACAATGCGGATGAATGAAAATTAGAAAAGAAAAAGATTAATAAAAATGATTTAAAATGAAGAAATCCTTCACCCACAATAATAAAACAATGAAAGATGCTTTTGATGGAAAAAAAAAACAAGAATGGGGTGCATAAAATCAAAATGGTTGGTCAGTATTGAAAGGTTAGTTAACCCCCACCCAAACAGAAAAAAACAAAAAAAACAACAACGAATAAGTTGAATTAAATGGCGAATGGTAATCAGTGCAATGACTGGCTAATTCAGGCAATGGTGAGAGGAAGGGTCTTAATGAAGGTTAGAGTTAGTTAAGGAAGCGGGTTGAGCAGTGGACCCGGGGTGGAGGTAGGGGAGGGTATCTGTTGACGTGCCCTAAATAATCAAATGGAGTAGTACTTGGTACATCTGCACGTGATCCCATACCATCCCTCCTTTTGCGGAAATGCTACCGGGTTGACCGGGTGGACCCTTCAAGCCCTGAAAAATAGAAAAGAAACATTATTTGAAATAAAGGAAAGAAATAAAGAAACAAAAATATGCAAAAATATAAAACACCCAACATATATATATATATATATATATATATATATATATATATATGTATGTATTGGGACAGCAGATCATTTTTCAAATATATATTGTTAAATACAACAGAAAACGAATGTCTATTATGTTTGATCAGGAGCCGTCCTAACCTTCGTATAGTAGCTTTAGTTTCGGGAGAAAATAAAGACAAAAACGCTCTCGTGAAGTTGGACATCAGCCATTCTGACTGCAGGCAGGGTGGGTTCTCTATGGTGGGTAAATGAGAGAAGTTTCGTTTTTGGAGGCATTAAAGTTTACAATCCATTTCCTGCCCCAGTCAACCACAGATTGGAGGTCGTTTTCGAGACCAACGGCCAGGTTAACTTTGTCAGCGATGCCAGATTTACTATAGAGACAAGAGTAAATGGCAGTGTCGGCTGCGTAGATGCCTACTTGAGAACTGATGACATCAGGAAGATCGTTGATGAAGATTAGAAACAGCGTAGAACCCAGGATAGAGCCTTGGGGAACACCAGCGTTCGTATGAAAGGAACTGGATGAGAACCCGTTAAGGACGACCTTCATTTCACGGTTTCACAAGAATGATTAGATTAAATCAAATAATCGTCCTGTCATACCGTATCCCGGAAGTTTACGAAGAAAGCCGGCATGCCGAATCCTAAACACTTTATAGATATCTAGAGCCACAGCTCGAGTTTCATCGTTATTGTCAAGTGCTTGGTATACAAATTCAGTTATGGCCGTGAGCACGTCAGCGGTAGACTGGGCAAAGTGGGAACCAAATTGTTTGTCAGAGAGTAGACCATGGGATCTAAAGTACTTAACTACTTTGGCGTTTATTAAAGCACCGAAGAGTGGTAGGAAAATGATAGGACGGTGTATATATATATATATATATATATATATATATATATATATATATATATATACACACACACATATATATATCTGACACGCCGATTGAGCACTATGGAAAACGCATAGCTTTTCGTCTGTACTGCGCGCTCTGGCTGTTGGTCTAGCATCTATATACATCACGTATATAATACGTTAAAAGACTCCCTTTCTCTGCTGTGCGCCGATAGCTTAGGTGTAGAGATTCTGACTGATGCCAAGTCTGTCGAGTTTCGATTCCGGCTTGAAGCAATCTGATGTTTAGTCACACTGATGAGCAGTGATACAGCAAAACTGGCTGTCTGTGGACTATGTATATATTCTGTTTATACGTTATTTTTATCGATACAATTATTTAAGAAAATGCAGTGTTTATAATAATATATATATATATATATATATATATATATATATATATATTTATTTATTTGGTTTTTGCAGTCTCAAGTCACGATGTCTGGGCGATTAGCTTTTGTTCTGTGTATATTGTTAAGTGCCCTAAAGTTGTTACATGTCGTTTCTGTAACCGGGACTGGGAGGCGTTCATACCAATTTCCTGCAGCTTCATTTCCGTAAAAGTTGCAGATTTTCCAGTGAAGTCATTGGTCCACTCTGTCATGGCAACTTTATATTCAGTGGGTGCCAATACCATGCAACCTGATACAAGATGGTCGATTGTTTCTGGATATTTATTACAGAATCTGCATTATGGGATAACAATTTTTCATTATGTGAGCTTTCTAGTTAGCAAACTTTGGTCCTGTGCAGCAAGAATAAAAACCTTCGGTTTCAGCTTTTGACCCTGCACTATATATCCACTGATGTGTACCGGGTCTGTCTACATGAGCTTGCTTGGTACGGACAGAATATTGATCGTGAAGAGGCTTATCCTGTCGTAGTTTCTGTATTGCGTCGATTGCATTTTCTTTTGCTTTCTTTTTTTAAGGTTTTTTGCAGCTGCAGTAGGTGTATTATGTTTTACTCGCATTTCTTCACCCACTTGAAACTCCATTTTGAACTTGTTGGCTTCTTTCATTGTTGAATAAAGTTTGTTACTTCTTTCATGTTCTTTTGACATCCAGTCTTCTGTAGTTTCCAGGTATTTTTGAAAACCGATTATTGTAGTTCTAGTTGAACTAATCCTCTGCCTCCTTCGGATCTGGGCACATGTAAACGATCAACATTCTCGTTTTGGTGTTCATTCGCTTCATGTCAAATTTGTTCCTGTTAAACATGTTGAAACTGTATTGCACCAATGAGACAGCTAAGGTGTTTATAGCTGATATTCTGTTTTTGAATCCAACTCGGTATTCAATGCCAAACGCACACGCCTATAGTATTCTTTTCTTACTTTCTCTTTCATTTGAGTATGCTGTATTCCATCTCTTTCGCTAATTCCTAGGTAGCGATAGGCTTCTTCTTGTTCCAGTTCCATAATCTTTGTGACAAAATGTTGATCTATTGGGTGTATTTCTGTAATTCTCTCTTTCTGAATGTTACTTTTGCACATTTATTTAATCCAAAATCCATACTTATGTCGTCATTTTACAGTATTGAGGAGACCCTTCAACTCATTGTCGTCTTTGGCAAAGGGTTTGAGGACATCCATGTAGAGTAGGTGATTGAGTAATTTATTGTTTGCTTTGTATCCATAGTTATTATTGTTTAGTTCATGCGTAAGGGGGGATTAAGGACGGACAAAACAGAAAGGGTGACAGGGGTCTCCTTCAAAGATTCCTCGTCGGATATTCACGCGGTTGGAGGTGGTAGTGCCTCTGGTGTGATTTAGGTATTCCCATGTATTTACTATCACCGAGGAGACTTTGTACATTTCAAAAGTCTTAAGGATTCAGGAGCGTGGGACACTATCAAAGGCTTTACATTAATCTATCCATGTTGTGCTGAGATTTCTACCTCTTTTCCTGTAATTTTCCAGGATCATTTTGTTTATCAATAGTTGATCTTTGCAACCATATGAACCTCTCCTGTGACTTTTCTGTTCTAGAATGTTGTTTTCTTTGAGGAAAGAGTAAGTACAGTTCGTCAGGACAGACGTGATCAATTTATACTGTTGGACAGACATGTTATTGGCCTATAATTTTCGGATCATCAGTTTCACCCGTTTTTTAGCAGGAAATATGTAATAACTTCAGTGATTCATTTTGGGACTTCATAGGGATTACAAATAAGGCATGTATAAAGTTTGTGCAAAGGTTTTATGAATTGATGACAGATGATAAAGCCCAAAACCGTATATATATATATATATATATATATATATATATATATATATATACACACACACTGTCTTCCTCTTCTATTATACTCTTCTATTGTTCTCGCTCCTTAATAATGTTTCTCTTTTTTTCAGCTGTCACTTCCTGATAAGTATCAGCTTTCTTTTTGTGTCCATTTTGTTTAAAACTTCCTCGTTACTCACATGTTCAGTTTATGGCATTCTCAGCATCCTCCTGTAAAATCATATTTTTGTTGCCTGAAATTTTCCAGCACTTATTGCTGAATAGGTGAACTAATACCACAGGACATTTTAGAATTCTAAGCTTTGTTTCTAACAAAGTTTTTTTCTGTTTTTTAATTCTTTGTTTAGCATTTCGTTCCCATTTTCCTTAAAACTTCTTTATTGCGCATATGTCCCGATCATGGCATTCTCAGCATCCTTCTGTACCTTCAGTTTTCCCTTCATCTGTGAGAAGATTGTCTAGCATTCACTGCTAAATAGGAGGATCGATATCACATAACAGTTCATCACTGTTTCAAATAAACTTTTACTATTTTTTAAAATCATTTCAACCTAAGCAAAGCAATAAAGCCGCTAAGACGCAAGAGGTTATTGAGTGTTAGAGAATTTGAGAAAAATATACTATTAAGGAGAGAAGACAATAAAAGACCAAGAATTAAGACAGAAGATAACGCATTTTTGAAGATCAAAGTTGATGGGGAAGTAAGAAGCTTGAAGACAGTTCCACAAGTGAGAAGTGCGATAGAAGAAACTGTTAACCTAGAACTTACGGTTACATCTAACCATTTTAAGTGTAAAATGATGAAACCTTTCCGATATCTAATACTGCGTAAAAATTCATATACTCTAGGTCAGATGTTCTCAACCAGGGGTAAATTTACCCCTAGGGGGTAAAAAATTATATAGTCGGGGGTAAATAATTGAAGTACCTGATAATTTTAAAAAACCACCTGAAAGCCGATGAGGATATGAGAGTAGCATTATCAGAAACAGCTCATCGCATAAACAAACTGATTGACTCAATGAATCAGCAATGTTCCTACTGATAATGCTTCTGATGTTTCTGTTCATTATTTTTTGTAATACAAATTAACTTCATAATTTTCTATTTAGAAAAGGTTTGATTTTCTTCTTTTTTTGATACGAATGTATAATACTATTTTTATACAAAACCTAAAGTCCTAAACAATAAAAAGGTTCTTTTTGACCTTCTTGTTTTTCTGTCACTTTATGACATTGATGTACAAATGAATGATGGATTACTAATTTTTTGATCAGAATACTGAATTTTTACTAATTTTTAGTATTTGTCAGTATTTTTTTATTTCTGTTTTGGTATTTTTACTAATGACTAATTTGCACAATTTTTAGTCACAAATTAGTCAGTACTAATCATAATCATTCATTAAAAAAAAATTTTTTTTTGTATTTTCCCAAAATTTTTTAAATTGCCAAAAACAAAAATACTAAAAAAAAAAATTTTTTTGAATGAATGATTATGATTAGTATTAATTTGTAGATCTACTAATACAGCGGATAAAATGAATAATTTTTTTATTAATGACTACAAACGTTAATAAAAAGTACTAAATAAGAAATCAGGATTTTGAGTGTCGCTTAGTATTTTTTTAGGCACAGTATTTTGACTAAAAATAAAACCCTTAGTAATTTGAATGAAAAAAAATCATTCATTCATTTAGTCACGAAATTGTACATCAATGCTTTATGATGGCTAGGAATTTTTTGTATTGGAGTAGGGGGTAAATGGAGAAATACA